ATATGGAGCACTACGATTATATTGTGGTTGGTGGTGGTCCGGTTGGACTTTCCACAGCACATAATCTTGGGAAAGCGGGTAAAAAAGTGTTGGTCTTGGAGCAGTTCATGTACTTTAACCAGGCAGGAAGTTCAGGAGATTTTGTCCGAATGTTTCGCACGGTATAAAATTAATTAATCGAAAAAGTGGATTCTATCTCCTCCCCGAATTTACGTTTGCATTCATTCTTTCAGATGTACAGCGATGAGAATTTGTGCAAGTTGGCCATCAAGACTAAGGACTTGTGGGCAGAATTAGAGACGGAAGCTCAAGTGCAACTTATTGAAATGACTGGGTTGCTAAACTTTGGCGATCCAGATTATAAAGATGGTCCTGAGGGCAACCTGACAAAGCCAATCGAAATCATGACTAAACTCGGAATGAGTTTTCGCAAATTATCACGAGAGGAGATTATGAAAGAATACCATTTTCGGAATCTCCCTTCTAACTTTATAGGCGTTTTTGCCAAAGACAATGGAGTCATTAACGTGTTTCTGACTGTACGTGCATTATATGCTCTCGCAAAAAAATACGGCGTAGAACTTAGGGAGAATGAAAAGGTAACAAGCATTAAATGTACGGATTGTGGCGTTAATGTCATGGCCGCAAGAAAGAATGTGATTACCGGAGAGCAGGATCAAAAATCTTATAGGTAAACGTATTGGATGCAACAACGTTATGGTAATGGTAGCAAAAAATAAGACTTATGCTCATGTATGGCACAATTACTTTGACTCAGTGCAAAGAAAGTTATTATCACAGCTGGTGCATACGTCAACGATGTAATCAAGTCTCTCAATTTCCAAATTCAACTCAGCATTTGGGAGATGGTTTCCATGTATTTTACGATGGATGCGATGATGAATCCTCCGGTGCAGGTAATTTAAAGCATTTGAACAGGCTATTTTCACATCATAATTCACTCACTGTTTTTTCCACAATAGTACCCATCAATGTGGTTTCAATTTCAGGATGGTTGCCCACCAAACCTTTTTTACGGATTTCCATCTGTTTCTTGGGGCCCACAAAACCAAACTCGTATTGCCATGGACTGGGCATCGCGCATTATCAAGGATCCATCAGAACGGCAAACTTGTGTTTCGGAATATGAACTCCGTGTTACTTCAGCTTGGGTTGAGAACCACTGTATTGGCGTGCAAAACCGTCCAGTATTCCAGGGTACCTGCCTGATGGCCAATGTACATGACAACAATTTTGTTCTTGATTTCGCACCGGAAGGTGTTCTAGGTAAAAAGTTTATTTAACTCATTATAATGATAAATGGGAAGGAATTCCATTGCTAATATAATCTTTACTTAAAAGGACCTGCACATAAGAACGTTATTATATTTACTGCCGGTTGGGCTTTCAAATTTGTCCCAATGCTTGGAAAATGCCTTAGCCAATTGGCTATTGATGGTCAAACAGAATTCAATATTGATGAATATAGTATCAACCGACCTGGAATTCTAGGTTCAGGACCAATTACAAGACCAATGTATAAGCATCAACCATTGTAAAATATGTTATTAGTAAATAATTGAAATTTATCCATTATTATTATGATCAAAAATAATACAATAATAATAACTAGTACGTATTATTCTTGTATTACTATTACACAGTGAACCTGGATATAATCTGGCTGTTTTTTTCGTTATATCCAGGTTTTATTATATCCAGGTTTTCTTTTTATAAGGAAGTCCTATTCAATAGGGATTTGGAAAGAGATATACGTTTCTATCGTGGTGGAATAGAAAGGAAGGAAGATACTAGAAAATATCATAAATTTTTAACGGATCGGGATAGGCTAATTGGAGAAGAGTTATTGCGTCGCAGTATACTAAAAAGTGGTTTAAGCACTGCGTGGCTCGATGATCTTATGGAAGAATGGGAAAAAGTCCATACTCAAACATAATAAGATTCTATTTTTATAACTGTTGCTAGTAGTAAATCACATATCTCTGATCCGGAAATGCCAATCGTGTTATTTGTATTCCATTACCCGAAATAGATTTCACACCTGAAATAGATTATGTAACGACCCAGATATAGAATGGGCTCTGCCCTTATCAATCTTGATTTGCAGGGTTTAAAAAGCATGACATCATCGCTCCATTAATAGAAAGCTCGATAACTTACTTTACCTCTCGCTTTACGCTTTCGAATATGGCACATGTATAGCTTCTATTCCCGGACCAGATGCATCGCTCTCTGAATTATCGAATGGGATATAAACTGATTCCGGATTCTTGCAGAAAATTTGCTTCGCATGTACGTAGTGCATATAGCTTTGGAGTTGCGATCCTATATTAAGGTTTACGATTCATTTTTATTTATTATTGCAGAGCAGGCCATAGGCGATTCTCCGAATCATGGTTCCCGAATGATTGGTAATAAAATGCTGATAATTGATTGCGTAATACAGATAATCGATTAACGTATCACATGCTATACCACAAAAGAAAATCGAAGGTCATGGAACTTCATGCATGCCCATTACAAATAATAATAATCGTGTGACCTGTGTTCACCCGGAAATTTTTCTGCCGAAAAGTAACGTAGTACATGGAATTGTGAAACCGAATACAGTCAACCTCCCCTATAATCACACAGTCGGGACCGGATAAAACCTGTGACTGTATGGGGGGTGACTGTATAGGAGGGAGACTTACATTAGTCATGTGATCTATATATTATAATTCTATTATTTTATTATTATTTAAAAAATCCACGACATTAATATTGGTATCTAACTAGCACTAAAATAAGCATCAATACTTTGTTGACGCTTTGATTGGAATTCTTTG